AAGTGCCCTCGTCCCTAAAGCCGAGGTGCAGTTCAAGCCAAGGTTCTCTACTAGAGGATCCGCTGCCAATTTCAGAAAGAGATCTATGTCAAGATCCTTTCTGCCCCCAAGATTCAATTGATTTGACATCGCCATGAACCTAGTTGATGTGACGTATCAACTTTAAGTCAATTCAACTCGGAAGAAGTAATTACCCGTCCACTTTATAGACGCGACTGATTGACGCCTATGAGCAGACGTCTCACACCATCAGATGCGTACACGTATCCCACAACCCACGGTTCTCATCACCTATAAATACCCAAGGCTTGACAAGAGATAAAGATAATGAAACTCTTATAACATAGCTTTCCATAACAAGCAAAGATATATATTCTCCTCCCCACTATTTTGCACAACCTTGGTATTGTGCCAATCACTTGAGGCTAACTTGACCGTCAAAGTGTATGCGGCTGCCACCACCCCCGATGGTTCCGACCGTGTGCATCTGACCGTGCATTAACTGTGCGCAGAGAAGAATACGTGGAGTAGCTATCGATTGGCCACGCGGAAGGTCCAATTTGCGAGGTCAACAGGTTATAATAGCCAAGCCAAGTAATTGCTTGGTTAACCATATTTTTATGCAACTTGAATCTGGGCATAGATAACCAAAAAGTTTCACATAAAGTAATCACATTAATGCATATAAATATAACATTAAACGTTCACCGAATGATAGGCAGGCATCCTGCCGCAGTTACAACATACGCTAAACAATAGATTGATACATCAATAATAAATTAGGCATACCCTTTTCATTTCTTCTCCCCTTTCGCAATTGCCTTTACTTTACGTATTGTCACATTTACAGAAATCTCCACGTCTTTTTCGTGACTCAGGCGACACATGGTTTCGAACATGCCGGATACATCTTCATCTAATTTGTTTGCCAGAAGCTTAGTACATGTACAGCCAACGAAATTTGATTCACTGCCCATTTCACCCGCTACAACCCACTCGCAATATCCATAGTTCGCGCTACAACAATTGAACCATTTACCTTTGTTCTTCGTATCTTTCTCCATCTCAAAGCACTTCACAAATGAATGTTTGCACGATGGGCATGGACGTTTTATTTGGGCAATCCGTGAAGAAGTGACCGATACGTCTACAACTATAACATACTCCATGATTTTTTCTGCCCATTATAAGCTGTCACTCAACCACGAAGAAAAAATGTCAATAACATAGTAACCAATTTAATCTGCGCCTCACAAATTTCATTTTACAAAATCAATGCAAGAGAGTGAAACTAACTACTACATCATAGCCTCAGCTCAAAAAATAGGTAAAAATTTACTATTTCAAATTCCAATTCAACAGCAGGGTTGTAATCTGGGCATATACAACCAGAACACAAATGCTTAAAATCATATGAACAGCAGGGTAGTAACATACAATTCAGACCCATGCACATAAGCTCAACAATAGGGATTCCAATTCCAACTTCAAATTCATGAACACACAAATTTCGACCATTCACATTCAATTCCTCCAAGCTATATACAAATACACAGACACTTAACAACATTGACACACACATTTAAACCCAAAATCACACTTATCAGAAATTTGTTGTAGATTCCAGCAGAGAAGAAGATGGTAACGACTTCGACGAAAGAAAATCAGCCTAACAGATAATGGTTGCAAAACCAACAAACTGGACCAATTCCGTTGGGGTTGATGAGTTCTCCAGTGGAGTTGGGGAAGATGGACGAAGTTAGGGGCGGAGAGACATTGGAGTTCGTCAATTGTAGGGTTTCGACATTTTAGGGAAAGAAAAGGATTTTTTTTGTAGGTGAAATGTGTATAGATATTGGGCCGGTTTCCTTCCATCGAGTTTTTTTGTCCACATCGTTCTGTCAACAACTTCAATAGCCAGATCCTTTTCGGTAATGTTATTTTCAAAAAATGCATTTTTGAAAACAAGAAAAAATTTATAATACAAAACTCAAAAAAAAAAAAATTGACATTTTTGAGAAAATACTTAAAGGAATCCAAAACAATGAAAATGAGCTTAAAATTTTTTATTAAAATAATTAATAAAATCATACAAAACTTACAAATACCCCTTTCCATCTCTTCCTATACTTTTCCAAAATGTCATAAAATTATTTTGAAATTTTTTAAACTAAATGCGTTTTCTAATTTTTTGTTTTGAGAAACAGTTTTTCAGAATAATAAACCAAACACTTTTTCTGTAAACTTAAAATAATCTCTCAAAATAAAATAAAAAATAGAAAATGAATTCAAAATTAAAAATAAAAAACAGAAACGCAAACCAAACGCACCTAATTTTATATTTTAGCCATGTTTGGTGGCCTTTAATTTAATTTATTTTACTTTACTTTATTTCTCGTACTCATTTTCAATCACACTATGGAAGTCGGTCATGCTCAAAATCGTTACCTTAATTGCGAGGGAAAACAATAAAATATTTTACACGTAAATTCAAAACTTTTTCATACTTTTTAATCTCACATTCTCTAAAGAATTCTATTCAAACATAATTTTAAAAAAATAAAAAAAAATTAAAGGTCACCATAGAGGGACTTGAAGTTTTAATCATGTTTGGGCTCCATTAAAATGAAAATTTGGGACTAAATGTATTGTGAAATAGTAATTTTTTTTATTTATTTTGAAGAATATGTGATTATAAATATTTTTTTAAAAAAAATTAGATTTACCTGTAACATGGAAGAATATGTGATTGAAAATGAGTTTCAAAAAAATGAAGCCCAAATAGAATGTTAATAAAGTAATAAAATTTTGATATTTAGCCCTAGTTTGATAGTAATTTTTCACTCCAAAAAATCAAATTTTTTTTTACCGTTATTTCACTATTTCAGCCGTCATTTTTGACTTCTTCACTCTTCATTAAGATCCACTTTTCGCTCTAACGATCAAAAAATCAATTCTCATAATCACTGCCGAATAGACTTATATACTCCAAATGAAAAAGATATCGGTGTAGACCACAGACGTGAATAGCAAAACACGAGCTTATGACATGAAGTACATGAGTCGGCCAAATTTTAGCTTAGGCATATTGATTCAAATCCGTATAAACTACCTAAAATAAATTTATATTAAACAGTCTTGAGCAAAAATACAAAGCCTAGACTAAACCATGCGTCTATAAAACACAATTGTCTCTATAGATGAAAAAAGAGTAATGTTATTCGTAGTAAAGACTGTCAGTAGTCGCCCTATGTGGCATACACTTGGCAATTTGGTATTTGATACATAGATATGGTAGTTATCTTTTGAATTATACATCAAATGAAAAACTGACAAGTATACGTCACATAGGACGACTGCCGGTAGTTTTCACTGCAAATAGCATTATTCATGAAAAAATGGGTAAATGACGGCAAGCAAGGAAAAGTGACCCATGATGCACCACATGATGGTAGGTTGGCTCAACCATTGAGTTGGAACATACTGTGCATAACTGTTGGGGCCTAGGCCTACCAAGTCACGCCGGCTCAAACGAGATTTTTATTTTTTTTAAATCTTCATTTTCAATTTTACTGAACTTGCAGTTGTAGATTGAGTGTCTCTGAATTGCATGCAGTTATCTTCAAATGAGGACGTATTTAAAGATTTCCCTCTAAGCATTGGGATAATTAAGTCATTTTGAGATAGTGACAAATAGCGGCTCTTTATTAGTTCTTATAATAATTGATTCGGTTAAGAATCACACTTTATTCATTGGCCCGTGTATTTTTTATTGACATTCTATAGCCAGCCTAAATTAGGGAAATGGTCTGTAAGCTTTGTGCGAGCTTTTTGTATTTTATTCCCCTTGCCTACACATTGTACGTAGCAAGTTGCAGGTTAGGTTTGCAGATTGCATTTTGAGGCTCAACGCATATGCGAAAAGTAAGTAATCACAGCAGTGTAATTGACAGAATGTTATTTAGTCCCCGTTTGGTAGTGCTTTTTCACTCAAAAAAAAATTGATTTTTTGACCGTTATTATACTATTCCAGTCGTCATTTTTTGATTTCTTTACTCAAAGGTGGATCACACTTTTCTCCCTAACGGTCAAAAAATCAATTTTCATAATCACTACCGAGCGGGCCCTTAAATGTAACTTTACTTCCTTTTGAGGCTTGGCCAAACATGGTCTATAACTCGTTTAAAGAAATTATCATGCAGACTCTTCATGATGATATCAAACATTGAACACTTCGGAACCTTATAGTAGGGATATCTTAATTAGGAGAAATGATGCACAGGGGAGAAGGAAACCTCAGCAAAGGCAGAAGAAGATGGTTCATCTGCAGTTATCTTTACTGATTAAAATACTGATCTTCCATGCATTAATCTTTTATTAGGCATGGAAATTCTGTCACTTAATGAAGCTAATGGTTTTATCTACTTTTACGGAAGTGAAGAGGGAGAAGGATGGATAAGAAAATGTTTACTCTGTTATTCCATTTACAGATGTTAACATCCTTACAACTTGAATCAGAATTTAGCTGTTCTTGTTCAAATTTTAGTGTTTGCAACTCGGTTCACGAATGGAATGCAGTTAGATTGGCTGACCACAGTAGTACAATGACGCTAAAGGATTCAACACCTCTTTAACTTTTCAATATAGTTACTTACATAATAAGTCCCTGCGTGAGAAATTGCCAAATATTGTTAAATGATCACGTGTCCTTGAATCTCCAACTTTATAAAGTTAGGTTTACTTCAAAACTGGACCTAGCACCGAGGAAGTTTGATAAGAGGTGCAATCAAACAAAAATCTGGGCAGTTTCCATCTTCAAAGACTAACTGTACACCATAATGAAAAGTTTGGAGACTTTGGAGACCAACTTGCAACTACAGCAATGGTTTAAGGACCCATGGTACAATTTTCCCCACACATGTTTTTCCACAACTTATATGACACAACACTGCACAAAAGAAATTAACTTCCTATGCTCTTATCAGACTGACAATTATATGTTGGCAAAATTTCTTTTTCCACTTCAAGACTGTTTTCTAAAACCAGGGAAGATAATCCATGTCAATAACACAATAAGAACCCAAGTATTTAACAACCATGGGAATCATCATTTTGCACACGTGTGCAATAACCCAAGTCCAAATAACCGAGATCAACATATTACATGCAGTAAAAAATAATGATGGGATTTTGATTTTTAACGACAAAAAATGGAGATTTTGCCTCACATTCCTGCTCCAGAGATCTGCCTTAATGTATTTGCAATCTCTTTTGCTGTTGCCTGTCCACTAACGTAGGCGATTAACGGGGTATCTACTGGAACTATATCGTCTCTTAGGTAGCTTCCGGCCGTTCTGAGCAGTTCCTCAGAACCTTTTTCGACAACTCCTTTCATTATCAGTGTTTTGTGAGTACCAGCAATTAGTTCTTCATAATCTGTGTCTCCTGTTTCACCAAGAATCACATACATATTTGCCACGTTTAACCTCCACCGAACAAAAAGGTACCTGTTTGATCTCGTAGGAGGGACAAAAAACATCAATTAGTATTCAGAACCTCACAGGATTAAATCCTGTGTAAAATAGTAGCTGTGTTCTTTTCTAATAAACCTTGTACTTTCAGAATTGATACGACTCTTCATCTAATAACCTCAACTATTTTGTTCACAACGTTGCAACTTTCAGGAAACCCATGCCCTTATTTGAAGGGCCACAGACAAATCTATATTCATGGGGTTGGTTTGTTACACCAGAAATATTATGAACTATTCTTCCTTTAGCATGTTGGGTTGACTGCCACCTAAACTGGTGCTAAGCACGAGTGGTGCTAACTGCTATGTAGCATTATTCTTTACTAATGGGAACAAGTTTTTCTTTTTTAAGAGAAAAACCAAGAAACCAGTTTTACATTTTATTTGCCTCTATCAGTAGGCAATAGGAAAAAAACAGTGACTCCAATCCAATGGTTCATGATTGCAAATTGAGCTAAAGTCTCTGATTTAATATGGAATATGATCTAATATGAAAAGAAGGATATCGTCTTGTAATGTCAAACTATGGAAAGGGAGCTTAAAGAATATAATATCAAAAATTAAAGTGAAATGAAATAATGTTTCAAACGCACCTGAGAGCCTGTGATCGTGATGCAAGGAGAGGAATAACTTGCATTCTTGTGGAGTTTCTGCAATACATTAAATGGCAACGAAGACCCCTCATCCGAAGCTTCTGCCTCATATCATCAACTTTCTTTGCCTGTAAAAACTCAAAATTGATCAAACATAAATATAGCTAATTATAAGAGAAAAAAGAACTGTTTCTAAGAACTTAATATATACCTTACTGGGATCCTTTATCAAGTAGGATAGGCAATGGGAATTGCTTGATTTCACATCTTCTTCGATGGCGGAGTTTTTCTCTCCACCTTCTGATGTATTCATCAGCTTCCAAATGGTCTTCTTCAAGCCATCTGATCCCCAGCGATAATCAATATGAGACACGTAATCAGGATCTGGGCAAAGCTTTCCGTATTCTTCAGTGTAAGTACCTGGATAATACACTTCACTACCACTACTACAGATCAAAGCATCAAAATCATTTACTTTAATATTCCCCAACTTCAAAAATTCTGTCAATTCCGACATTGACATAGCTGTTGATAATGCAAATCCCGATAATCTTGCGATTTGTGGATCTATCTTGATGGCCTTAAAAGTTTCTTGCACTATTTGAATCATTTTCTTTTCAGGAGCTCCACTGCTGTCATAACAATCTAATGCTATAACAATCAATTTACGTCTCCGTCTCAACATAGGATACTTGCTTGGAACATTTTGAACGGTTCGATCACCTTCAGAATCATGTGCCGCCGATTCTTGCCTCTTCATTTTGCTCAAAACTCGCATAACTTGGTCCTGAAGCTCAGGATCATCGCCAGCCGTACCCACACCAAGTGATTCATTTAGTGAAGGTTTTTCCCCATCGACAGAGAGCCTTAGAGACATATCTTGCACGTCTTTAAGAGAATCATTCAGGGATTCTTCTGCAGCTTGATCGTCTGCTGGAGTGTCGGTTTGCCATTGTGGATGCCTCATCCGACATGCTGCAACCCTTGTTAAGTATGTTCTGCAATGTTCAGGCCATGAAAAAAGGTGTATGTTCTTCCACCCATTCCTTCTGCACTCTTCCCACAATTTTTTCTCTGATACTAACTTGAGCAGTGCATCAGCAATTGCTTTCTGATCATGAGGGTCCACGAGCAGACCATTGTTCAGTGCCTGAATTACACAATGAAACAATATATGCATATCAACCAATCAAACAACAGTCTTGTTTCTACACTACTATATTGGTTTAATTCCTAGGACCATAAAACAAAACAATGCAGGAGAACCCTTCACGAGTCTCCTCAGATTTTTGGTTTGCACATTACACCTTGAGTAAACTCGAGCTTTCATACTGTTGCTAGTTATAAGAGAATGTGATGCACAGAGAAAGGGAAAGTGTGCAAAAGTCACTTTTACCCCATGGATATCAACTGGACCACCGTTCTTAGTTGCCACCATAGGGAGTCCATGCGCTGCAGCCTAAAACAATCCAGACTCAAATTTCAAAACTGGTTCTCCCAAAAACAACAGAAGAGGGGGTACATACAACTGAAATCAACCTCGATCAAGGTAAGTCCAAAGGGCTCAATGAAAGCTGGATTTATGAAAACTCCCTGTCAAGTTTTCAAGCGCAAGCAATTCATTAAGTGGTACCAAAAAGTTACCGAGTAAGTCACAAGGAGCGCCAAATTCGACAGACCTTTGTTTTGGCAGCAAGGTGGTAAATTTCTGGAACATCACTTTGCTTGTGATGTTTAGGGAAAGCCACTTGCCCATAAAGATCATATTTATCAACCAGTTTTAACACCGTCATCAGCACACCAGCATTTCCAGTGGACATCTCATCTATGTCGTCTCTATTTCCCATAATAAGAGTCTGGCCACAAGTATGTTAGTATAGGTACTGAGTGTTTTATAACATTGCCAAAGCCTATAGATGTCTAATAAAATAACTTTGTCAACTTACAAGATTAGCAAGCTCTCGTAGGGGGCGGCATTCTCCGAATGCTTTCACAAGAGTGGTTAAATTCTTTTTTGGATCTGGTCTTGACAGTGCAAGGATCATTGGTTTGTGTGGATTTGTCAGAAAACGCAAGACCTGAAAAAGAAAACGTTGAATAATTTATCATCACCTGACAAAAATAGAGAAATTAAGCAGTTTATTATCAAGAACACGGATGAGATGTTTACATCTGAATATATAGCAGGAACTACTTTTGGGGATGCTACATCATTGTTAGTTGGTATTGCAAGGTCCCCATCAGCTTCAGCAATATCTTCTTGAACCACATTGCTAAAGTCCATTCCAGGAGGAATTACCTGCACAGAGTTTATACTGAAATATAAGATAATATAGTTCAAATCATATTGAACCTATTTTCCATCACCCAAAGCAGATTGGCCTACCCAAAATGACAAGCCAAAGAAGCTAACATATTTTGCAAGAAAATTATCCCAAAATCCATGTCATCCAGTCCTCCAAATATAACTAATTTAATCTAACCTGTGTCTCTATGTGTTCTTAATTAAATATTCTACAGCATTATGTGAGGATTAAGTTAAAACTTGATAAAAGAAAAAAAAAAAATTGCTGCAAGAGCAGTTTGGTGTGGGATCAAAAATGACAAGACAACAAAGAAAGTTTCCAAATTCTCCACATGATCAAATTTCCTAAATTCAAAAAACGTGAAGGGAATCGAAGAGGCTACTTCAATTACAACACTAGTTAACTGTAAAAGGTTCGAAAAAACATGCTTACTGCCATCCTGGGCATGAAACGACCATGGCAATTGACCCCACGCCTTGCACGAGCCCTTAAAACTTTCTCAAGTTTTACATCAAATCCATCATATAGGCCCCATTGTTCTTCAATCTCCTGCTTAGTGCTTGTAATAACAAGCTCTGCAGCGTCTAATGAAAGTTCTTCTGCTTCTATCCTCCTCATAATCCTGTACATCGAATTAATATCCTCTTTTGATTGCCTTCCCTGTTTAAGGAGCTGTTCTAGCTTGTTTCTACCAAGTGAGTGCCCCGTTAGAACCATTGGAACATTTAAAGCACCTGAAAGAAGAGCCGCACTATCCCCTGCATCCGCATAGTGCCCATGAATTACATACGGCCAAACGGGCTGTCCCCCACGAATTTGTTCACCCAAAGCCTTAGACATATTAAGAATATGAGCCAGCGCTCCATCTACAAATTCTTGAATATGAGGCCACAATAATTCCTTCCTAAGATACTTGTCTCGAGGACCAAAAGGTATTCTTACAATATAAGCCCCACTGCTTTCTCCAAGATCAGCACCGTCTGCATCCTCGGGGCCTGTACTAAGCATCTCTGTAGGCTCACCGTAACTCCAATCCACTTCAGGTGAGGAAACTTGACGGGTGAACAGATCCACCCTGTATACCCCTGGCATCTTGGCCAACGCTCGAGAAAGCTCGACTACATATTTAACCTGAAATTTTTTATGAGGAAATTAGACCAGCATATGAGAACTAATACTTTCAGTGAATCATTCTTATTCCATTGAGCAAACTTACCTGACCACCAGTGTCAGAATCCCGGCCAAGCTCCATATTTTCACCACGAACCAAACCATGCAAACTGACATAGGTGAGAATTTGCGGAATGTCAAAAGACTCAATTCATGATGCCAATTCATTATTTTAGAAATAAAGCTCCTGCTCGAAAAAAAATGTGTTATTGTTTATATGCTAACGTGTAGAGTACCTGATAAGGACAATGTAAAGCTTCTTCTCCTTGTTACTATCAGACCATACATCCAAATTGGAAACGTTTGGTTGGGACTTTTTCCTTGGGCTGTCAAGTGAAATCGCCTCTCCCGAAACATCTCCTTTCTCGCCTTCAGACAAATCTTCCGACATGTCCTCAGTCACATCCTTTAGTCCCTGTTCTCGTTCCCACCTCCAGGTTGCCAATCTTTGGAGGTCCTCCCATTCCAACTATCAAAAGACAAAATAATGTTCAAATAGTTATTGCTTTGCTCAACAAGAAATTGAAAACCTTCACGCCACAGAACGAAAACTTGTCGATTATTCATCTTCCTTGCAATTATGGAGAATAGACTCTACAAATCAAAGTACATATGCAGAAATTGAAGAGGGATGAGTAATTAACCCATATCCAAATGACCATATTCTGTCCTTCCTCGAAGAATATCAGAGACAGAAACATTTATTAACCCAATGACAAAAACCAATCAAGACAAGAGGTTAAAATAAATGAAACCAATCCACAAAATTAATTCTCTGGCAGGAACACGAGAGGATGCATCAGCACATTATTACCCCCTCCCACACCACTAACACCAAGAAAACACGGACAGATACAAATGTATCGATATATAATATATGTATGTATGTAAAGCTACTATATATATCAAGAAAACCTGCTTCTTTTTCCGGGTAAGATGCCAAATGCGCCAGCACATGTTTTCGAGTCTTGAACTCCTTTCTTTGGTGTTTCTCGTCGCCACCACTTTGATCCATGTCCTATGAAGATCAGTCTCATCAACACCACTCACCACTTCTTCAACAAAATACTTTGTTGGATTGAAATTATCATTTTCTCTCAAATTCGCTGGTGTTGGTTTATTCTCCTCAATTGCTGATGCCCCAGTATCCAAAATTGCCTCCAAGTACCCATTTATCCACTCATTCCCCGCCATTGAAACACAGAGAAAAGAAAGAGACTGAAAATTTCACATGCAAGTAACAATGCGTGAGAGTGAGGATTGCGGGAGATTGAGAAGGTGAGGACGGAAGAGGGAGAAGGCGTATGTAGGTGGCACGTGGAATACGGATCTAAGGGTGTTCGTTGTATCACACGTTTGACGAAGCGATGGGTTTCTCTCTGTACGCGTATGTCAAGGTTGTCCGGTTCCCAATGAGAGGTGCCGATTTCTACTCCTGTCAATGTTTGGGTGGCTGACGATGGGAAGGACAAGCTGATAAGTGCGTGAGGACGCATGGATTTTGTTTCATTCTAGTCCGTTACGTAATGTGTCTTTCTTTGGCTAATTTTTTAATTTTAAAGAATATTAGGGTTGTAAGTCCCCAATCTATATTAGTGAAGTTTTACGAGATGGCACGACAAAGTCGCAACTGCTCAATAAACGGAGCTCGAGCCCAAGTCACAATGTTTCAATGGTTGGATGAGTTTTATCAAGTGCGATCCAATCTCATATATTTTGCCTATGTTTGACAATTATTAATTGAAAAAAATAAAGTTTTGAATAGTAATTTTTAGAAAACTGTATTGTTAAAAAATAAGAAAAAATTTTTAATTTACATAAAATATTTTATTGTGAGTATATAGGAAAAAAAAAGAGTTTGAAAATAATGATTATCAAATAAGGATTTTATTAGATTGTGAATTTAGAACCTCATTTTCAAAGATCGAAGATTCGTAACCACATTGTACAAAAAATAAGGAGCCCAATTTTGTTTTTATTTTATTTTTTCAATTTTTATTTTTAGATATACTTAAATTTTATTGTTGAAGTTGTGAAGATCGTGTCCTCGACTTTAAAGACTAAAATTATTAGTTAACTTGCTATTAAACTTAAAACTAAGGGTAAAGGACTAAGATATAGAGTAAGTAAAAATAAATCAATCTTTCATCTTCTTCAATCATCACAACCCCACATCCCTTCACCAGCTAAATTCTTTGAGAATTGCTACATACACAGAATTTTTGTATAGATTTGTCGAGGGAAAAGAGGTGGCACATTTTTTCAATTTCATTCATTCAAATCAAGGGTTTAAAATAAATAAATAAATAAAAACACTATCATCTCATATTCTATCAACAAATTTGTAACACAATTTATGTACAAATAGCAAAATTGAAACTCCTTTGCCTTTGTGAATAATTGCTTTTCCTCTGTTTGTTACTACGACTAACAATTTTGATCTCTACATTCTACATCGATCATAAATCATTCTCAAGTTGCAAATAGAAGTGCCAAAAGGACACTATCAAGGCAAGGGCGACTGGCCTGCGACTTTTGCTAGCTCGCCTTGGAAGGTAGCACGAGATGTGTCAAGTCTCAAGAGAACCACTTGCCTAGTCTCTATAAAAAAATTAATATGAATTATATATTTTTCTAAATAATGCAAGACTAGAGGTTCATATCTACATCTACAATTAACAATATGTGTGAATGCTTGATTAATATTTGGTTGATACTTTTATCTTTAAGCTTTTTCGTCAAAAATGCCTTCAATTAAGAATACATGGGTGGACCCACATGGAGTCATGTGACCCCACAATTTGTTATTATTATTATTATTATTAATTTTTTTTTACATAAAGTAATAGTTTGACCCTTTACAACCTACTTTGACGTACTCATTAAGGGATGTCAAATAAAGTTGAAACATTGCATTTTTAATATCAGTGAGAAGCGTTCATGGCCTAGATTTTCGCCCGTTAATGGCGTGCAAAATGACCAACTGTAGCAAACGTAACAATGCATCAAAATAGGCCGTTTCGAACTAGTATTTCGAGAATTTTGATAATATGATAACTTTCTAAATTCGCCGATAATTGTATACTATCCGAATTCACAAATCGCCTACATCATCTAGAAGCTCGTTTCAAGAACTACATTGTAATCATATTGAATTACCCAAATAAATATCGAATATAGTTAAATATGTGTCAAATGTACGCTTTATAAAAGATATCTAACTTGTATTCTTTTTATAAAAAAAAAATTCAATTATTTCATTAACGTTTATTATTTTTACACGATAAATTTTTTAATATAATTTACGTCATTTTATTAGAAAATTTTACATGATATATGACGTCAAAAAGTTTAGGATCATTACGGATTAATTGTAATTTGAATTACTTTCGAATTACTTTTGCATTAAATTTAAATTTCATTTATTTCCCATAATAATGGTAAATTTTATTTCAATTCATTTACTTCCTACGTTCTATTTGATTTACTTGCCATCAACTCAACATATGTCAATGAAATTGTAAACAAAACGTAATAAGTAGCAAAATTTATTTAATACTATTGATAATAATATAATTATTTTCATTAATATTATATTGTCTTTAAAAAATTACACTTTAAATTTTGACCCCACAACATAGAAAGTCTGGGTCCACCCCTATATGAATATATTTTAAATGTCAATCATTAATATCATCGTCGTCATCATCATCATAATACCTAAAAGTTTAATATTACTTCAACTTCGTTTACTTTCCATTCACTACTGAAATTACATTTTTTTTAGCATCAGAGTACTACAGATTTATATCAAATAGACTAGTGTTATCATTTATCAATAAAACATAGTTTAAATAGAAGGAAGATCAAAATTCATAAACTAACAAGTATTTTCATTTACTATAGATTTTTGTTCCATTTTTTGTCAATATAATATTGTTTAATTTTCATATAATAATATATTTTTAAAATTTATCAAAATCTGCTAAAATTTTTATCAAAATATTTATCAAACAATCTCTAAATAAGCTTTTACATTTCATTCTCATGAATATGCAAAAGAAACGTCTCACTCGTTGTGTTGTGCTCGCAGGACGCGCTCGACTCATAAGCTCAAAATATTAGCACGATCTAACATACACGTCTACCAAATATTTTGTGGCAGCAAAAGCGTCATCTCGACTTGTAATAACCACCATCAACCAAACTTTATCTCCTTGCCTTAATATAGATGAAACCATATACACACAAGTACCTTTCGGAGCTAACATATGAGTTAGAAAAGCTGCAATAATTCTGAGACTTAATCAAGTACACGAATGCAAACAGAGGCACAAGGCCCATTTAGACAAACGTAAATAGGTGACACTTTTGTCTGCCATGATTCACTCACTTAGAGTTTCCATTCAGTAATTTCGTCAAACATGTTATGCGCAGAGATCAAACTCGCATTTATAGCATTCATCACTATGTCAGTCTCAGTCACTTAGAGGAAAGGAGGGACCCAATTAATGATCAGGATGGTTCTCACCTTCACGTGGATGTAACTAATACTCCGATACTTTAGAGCCTGTTTGGGAGTGATTTTGAGAATTAATTTTTTGACCGTTAGGAGAAAAGTGGGGTCCATCCGTGAAAGAAGAAGTCAAATATGACGGCTGGAATAATGAAATAAAGATCAAAAAATCAATTTTTTGGATGAAAAGATCGCTCCCAAACAGGTCCTTAATGTTTAGCTAAGCTGTTATGTAACTTATAAGCACATTTATTTTGAATAGTACTGAGGTCGAGGAGCATGTTTGGCTAAGCTTATAGAGATACACTTTTAAAAAGGTACTTATAAGTAACTTATAAGCTTAGTCAAACATGCTAACATCTTTGATGCAATAAAGAGAATTTTTCCATTCGCATAGGAACTTCTGAACAAGGTGAAAAATAATCCAAGCATCTAATTTTTATTCTAAATGTCTTCTTTTCATATTTTAAATATATAGCAATAGTTCTGAATCTCTAAGACTCTGGCTCTCCTGACAATTTTATCCTCGTTGTAAATGGTAAGTTTATTAGTGAATGACAATTACATCCCTGCAATATTATTACTCGTGTATCCATGATTCTTTCCTATAAATTTAGGACTTTTGTTCTTAATAAAATACACAAGTTTATTGACTTCTTTCTATTTTCTCTCTTTTCATGACACGTTATTAGCACAAAAACTTAATTTTTCAAAGTTTAGTGAATGTAGTAATTTTTTTTAAGCATTATCATTTATCACACGTTCCAAAATTAATTTGTGGCATGTAAATTTTTCTACATACATATGCATCAAAATAAGGTTGCTTCTTCTATTTCTTTTATACTTTTTTGCTTGTATGCAAATCTATAATGATTATTTCATTATATACGCAATAATTACTTTGCCATATTTGCATGTTTATATATGAAGTCAATTCACGTGCATATTTGGAAGATTATTTTATGTATACTTTTTGGTAATTATACAAATTCATATCATTTAAATATTTTTAAATATTCTTCTATAAACTTTAAATTAATAATTTATCATGTGTTACTCTTAAAGTAACACAACATTATAATTAATTTCTTTGAAGAATATTATTTACTCCAGAAGAGTATGAACTATATTTTTTTTTAATATTCTAAAAGAATATTATTTGCTCCTGAAGAGAATGAATTATATTTTTTAATATATTGGAAGAATATTGATATCTTGCTTTTGAAGAAATAATAGTAAAATACAACGTGCTTCCAAAGTAGCACGTACTTCGAAGAACGTATTATTTTAAATTAGTGTTTATTCTTGAAAGAATACACAACTTATGTAATGTTGACTACTTGATTAACTATTATTTAATATTTTAATCATATTTTTGGAAACTAATTATATTTTCTTTGCTTATTGTGTAGTTAATCAAATGAAAAATATCATAAAACTTGAGTTTGTTGCACTTGACATATCTGACAAAAATTATCTGTCATGGTACTCGATGCTGATATCTATCTTGTCTCAAAATGTTTGGGAGAAATAATAAAAGAAACAAAAAATCCTTACATGATCGTGTAAAAGCACTCATTTTCCTTCGTCATCATTTTCACGATGGATTAAAAATTGAATATATCACTAAAAAAGATCAACAAGTTCTTTCGAAAAATTAACTAAAATATATGATCATCAAAGGATTATAGTCCTCCCCAAAGCCCGCTAGGAATGAATATATTTTCGTTTGCAAGATTTCAAAACTATTAGTGAGTAAAATTTCGAACTATTCAAAATAGATATTGCCCCGTTTGTTTTCCATTTTTTGCTTATTAAAATGAAAAATATGACCGTTATCCATCATATCAAGCCACCATATTTGACTTTCTATTTCTTGTGTGGGGCCCGTAACGGCTATATTTTTCATTCTCATTTTTACA